TAACATCGAGAAGATGACGTCATCAGATCCTGCGCACCCCTCCATTGAGCATGAGCTCTGCAAAGGAGTGCGTGAGGCCAGTGATATTGCCAAGATAAACACTCGAGGACTGGTACATCTCAAGGACTATTGTACCTCGAGGACGTTACATAATCTTATGATTCTATGCTGAAGGTCTAGTCCTCGAGGTTTTATGGTCTTTGGGATTTTTTCTCGATGACTCCATTTCTCTCCCCAAAATTCATAAGTCCTTGGGGTAAAGTAATCGAGCACTACTCTTTTTTGGTAAAATCAGATTTTTAATGTGTAAATTTTTTTTTTCACGTATTAGCCCGGTTTGAAATTTTTTCGCCCGGTCTTGAATTCAATCCTGGATCCATCCATACTCAAATGGTTTAAAATAGAAATTAATCAAAATATAAAATTGTATAAGACAAAATAAAATGCCATAAAATTCCATGCATAAAATTTACTGTAGCAAAACATATCGAAGATAGCATGGAGATTGGAGAAGATGAAGGGTTTGAGAGATTGTCAAATTACCTTGGTCTTTAGGCTTAAGATTTAAGAGATGGCGAGAGAGATTGAGATTGTGAGTGTGAACAAGAAGTCAAGAACTCGACGATGTGAGGAAGAGACGGTAACACAGCAACCCTTCACCCTCACCCTTAATTTTAACTTCTAAAATCCTAAATCTTAATGATGGGTAACGTGGTTACGTGGGATGTGGTTATTTATTTGCTGCCTTTCTGGAAAGAGTGTAGGAAGTGGGCTGTGGTTCTTTATTGTTACTGCTTTGTTGGGAAGAGTATAGGAAGTGGGTCACTTTGAAAGTCATAATTCACGTTGGGGTTTGGCCTTGGAAGTTGGCAGCTTAACCTTTTTAAAGGTTATACAGGGCGGGTGCCTTGTTACACGTCCCCACCCCGTTACCCAATTATGCGAGTATTACACACCCCGTTCGAGTCAGGGCCCCGCGAGTATTGAGTTTAATGGATTTTTTTTGCCATCCCTATCTATCCACCACGGACGGTGAGGTCAAATTGCAGAACTGCAAGAGCAAGAGAAGGACCAAAACTAAGATTCTCAAGCCACAGAAGCAAAAATAGAACTCTATACAATTTGAAATGTCCTCACAGAAATCGCTCTTATTCTGACTGTTGAAAAGAATAAAGACAAGTCACTACATCCACTGATTCTCCACGGTCGACCACGATATTAAATAAGTCACCATAGCGAATGAAATCTACAAGGTTGACCATACTAAACTAGTCATTACGGCTAATGAAATCTCCAAGGTCGACCACTGTAGAAACCGGATCGCTATGGCCAATGAAATCTAAAAAAGCAGACTACAGAGCCAGCTGAGATACTAAAACAAAAATTGTGAAGGCAACTACTGTACTAACCAAGTCAAAATGGCCACTAAAGATTTGCCTAGGTCAACATTGCACAGTTTGGTGACCATGATCACAAAAAATTTGTCAAGGCCAACCTCGGCAATTACCCGGTCATGATGCCATGACAATTCATAAGGAGATCAGTACGTTGCCAAAACATTACTGTCGATTCATATAGCTTTGAAAGCAGCCCAAACTCATAGGATCTAGTGGCTAAAAATTAATGCTTAAGCTAATTAGGTCCTTAGCATGATTTAAATTACTTCAAGAACAATCTCCATGTTGACAAAACTCAAAAACTCTAGCATTTAAGAGTGCAACAATCTGATAAGGTAACCAGAAGCCATTCTAACTACATTGATCGCAAAGTTCAGACTCGCGAGTTCTTAAAACAACAAAAATAGTGAAACTTGGTCTACGTTATGAATATTCAAATAGAAAATCCTTCGAAGACAAATATATCTATCCAATCATATATAATAATTCTAGTCCAAGGCTCAAACCCAATTACTTTGCAACTCAGTAATTGCGGGCCTCTGGTAAGGTATAAATAAATGAATTAACCTACTTGTACAACACACGCCCATTTTTTCAATCGGCAGCCCCCCCCCCCACGTGGGGGGCTGTGAACCGAGTTGTGTGCCATGCTGTGCACACAGCTCGGTATAATTAGGATTGGTCAAACTAACTGATGAGCATAATTCGTTGCTGAATCACTCTAGTCATTGAAGAGTCTATTAAATCCATGCATATTTTTGTTTTCGAAATAAGACCTACAAATATATAAATGAGCGTAGGTATGACAATGGGGCGAAATAGTCCACACAATATATATCACTTTCTTTATATAATACACACATAGTTAAATGATATTATTAATCACTTTATCTCTGGCTAACTTGAGCGTTCGAGGGCCTTCACTGGTCAACACCCGATGCTGCCTTAGATGTGTATCCGCTCATACAAAAGTTCAAGATTCTCATATAATATGACCATTAACAGATTTGGATGTCAACAATTACAATTTACATGTTAGATCTGGAAAAAATAACATGATTGCAATCTTAAGAAATTTGGTCCTTGCAATCTTGTATAGAATTTACTCTCTCACTTTCATTATATTTATGTGGTATCTACAAAGGTAGATTATCGATTTGTACACAGAATTAATGTACATTATGAGCGAAATAATGATGTAATTATCATCCTTATCTATACGTATAAAACAATTATTGCAGTGACATTAATTAGGATTGAAATTTAATTTTCACATTGATGACATTCAGATATTACATATTACAATCCAAATTAAATCTACAGAACAGCAGAGTAATATACATTTTGAACAGAATTTCGTAAATCAAGAATTAAAGAAGTAGGGATGACAACGGGGCGGGGTTTTTTAATTATTTTTTTTATAAAAGGTTAGGGTTCAATTTGCTTCAAATAGAAGGAAGTGACATATTTTCTAGTATCTTCAATTGTACAAATCTTATCAAACTTGACTAATTTATATATACAATTATGCTACTTTGTCAAATTGATATTATATTGATAAAAATAAATATAAAAAGATATAACATGTTCAACTGAACAAATTTGAAAATCTATATATTGTAATAAATTAAAGTGTGTGGGGTTACAACTTTTGTGACAATATCAAAGGAAAAAACACAAAAAATCTTGTTCACCCTAAGAATTAATGTTGTGTACCAATAGTGACTATCATATTTAAGATTTGTAGTGTTTATTTTGAATATTAACTTTGTCAGCTTGAATGTTATCTGTATTTTATTGAATTCAGAATTAAAAAAAAAAAATTAAACGGGGCAAGCCCACTGCCCCGTCCCATCGAAGGCGGGGCGGGGCATGGGGCGAGAGAAACAGGGCGGGTGCCCTGCCCCGAACCCACATCGTAGCCATCACTACTTCAGGGCGGACCAAACCCTCCTCGCCTTAGACAGGCCAGGTGGGACGGGGCAGGGGCAACTTTTTGCTGTGTTTATTTTTACAAACATGCTATAGGTCCCAACTCGAGGACCGACCCAAAAACAGGGCATCACCTCAGCCCCCGATTTCAACTTCATTTTTTTTTCAGATCCAAGGGCCGAGGTGTTGCCACCTCAGCACCCTGGATTTTGGTCGATCCCCGAGTTGGGACAAGTTGCATTTCCCTTATTTTTATTTTTTATTTTGTATTTTTTTTACATTTTCAAAGTTCCAAGTTATATTATTATTTGTGAATAAAATACAAATTCAAATTAGGTTTTTAACGAGTGAATTGTTTAGAAATAAAATTATCTTTTATCTTTTTTTTCCTTCACCGTTCAAGGCGGGTTCTTTTCCCATCACTATAAAGAAGCTAGGTGGGATCCATATTCCATAAATTTGGTTAGTTGGAACCGACACCTGTTGAACCAAGGAATATGCCCCAAGAACTTCGCCCTCTACTTGCGAGACATAAGAGACGTGAGGGGGACAAAAGCACCAAAGGCTTGCACCAAAGCATAGACTAGCCATTCCCCATCTAGGCAGGCTAAAAATCGTTATTATGGTGCACGTGAGCAAGTGTTCAAAGTGTGACTTTAAAGCCAATGAATGAAAGGCACACAAGCTAATGAACAAAACGAGATACTATAGTGGAGACAGTTACAAGTTAACCACTAAGAGGCTACCATATGCCCTTTTCCTAAATAACTGAATTGCTTACCGTCCAAGAGAAAGAAAGGAGGCAAATTCAAATATCTCCCACCCGAATAGCCATTTTCCCTCTTGCTCCTATTTGAGCATCGAAACCAAAGTGTTTAGAAGTAGAAAATCCTGACTAGGTGAAAGGAATTTGTTGATCTGATTTTTATTGTCAACAACGTCTGTGAGAAACATGAACAAAGAAAACCATGAATCAGTCCATCAAAATGGAGGATTTCTCGAGGTCTTCAAAAATGAGTTATGCAAAGGAAATTCAGGAAGTAGTTGGAGTACTGGTGGATTAGAACAGCCAGAGGAAAACTCTAAGCATCAGTGAGAGGATATCACAGGGAAACTATGAGAAAATCAGTCCCTCGCTCAGCTTTGTTGCTTACAAAAGAAGAAGTTGGCAGCAGATGCCATTCAAAAGTGGTTCAAGACCTCAAGGCACGGACGGCGGAACACGTTGCTCCCTGTTCAAAAATACAAAGCCTGGAAACGGGAAAACTGGTAATCCCCAGTCCCTAACCTTTTCAATCAAATCTATAGAGCCTAAAAATTGTAAAACGTGAATCGAAGATGATATAATCGTGATCCAGGCAATCATAGTGGGAGAATGTCTTTACCACATGCTCCTAGACAGTGAAAGTGCAGAAAATATGCTATACAATCATGCTTTTGATCGAATGCAAAAATATAACCGTTGGATCCCTAATTCAAAGCATCAACGCCTTACTAGAGGAGGCTTGGTCCTTCATGAATAGACCACTCTACTAGTGAAAATAGGAGAGGAGCCCCAGGCATACCAAGGGTATATGAATTTCAACATTGTTAAGGGTAAATCTGCACACGACGAAATCATTGGACAACCTTCCATGAAGCTGAAACATAATTATTTTCTTTCGTACATAGTTACCTATAATATCTTACTAGACTGTCTTGAGATGAGTGGGAGAACTGCGGAAGCAGTAGATCTTTATACAAAACTAAAACAACAAGGCTTGACACCAGATTCCATAACCTATGCCATTCTTGAACGGTTACAAAGCGGTTCACATCAGAAAGTTCGAATTCGGAGGCAACATCCAATAACTGGTTGGGTTGTCAGCCCATTAGGGTGACAAAGACAAATCCCTCTCACAATGTTTATGAGAAGTAGCTGCCAGTTATGCCCCTAAAGAGATAATCATCTGTGGCATAACCATAAGGAAGAATGAATGGTCGTTTCAGTGGCACATATGATGGACATGTGATGTTACGGCTGGACCCTATTTCAACCATCGTGCCTCGTGTCTGGGACACACAGCACACTTACTGACCCTTGATTCTGATATCTGGTTTATTGTTTTGTGTTAACTTGTGACAGTATTCAAGTAGTTATTGACGGCTGTGGCATAGTCAGATTTGCAATTGTATTGCTTTGCATATGAATACAAATATGAATGCAGAGGATGTGCAACTTGAATGCATTATTTACTATTTAGGCCGGCAGGAAAATATATTTTCTTCATCATCAATGGCCAAAGCATGCACTTTTCTCTCGGGTTAGGAAATAGAAAACGAGACGATACTGAACCAAAATAAAGGCGGAAGAGCCATTTGAAAGATCAGAGCAAGTTGGCATTTTTTTTCTTCTTTTACTCGATTTTTCCCCAGTTGTATTCATCATTTGTTATATATACCTGGACGGTTAGTAACCATCTTTAATAACCACGTGTTGTATTGATTATTGTACCTTGTTTATCAACTGTTATTAACTCTTATTGCTACTCTTCATTAATGGATTTTGATCATCATGGAAATTTATTGTGCTTTATAGTGGTTATAAATGTGTCAGGAAAGTTAGTCTTTTGCAAGTTTTAAATGACAGTTGTAAGCTATCATGAAAACTTTCAACAACATAGGTTATCTATGTTGTAGATGTGGGAAAAAAAAAAAAATCTAGATGACTCTTGTGTTTACTTCCTATGATGATAGCTAAAGATTCTTGATCATCTGCTTAGATTGTCAATTTTAGCTTTCAGTGATTGGTATCTGTTCGCCAAATTGGAGTGCGAATTTGTATTGCTCATTGAAATTATATTCATCTCTTGTGTCTTCTTAAAGTTTTTGTGACTTATTCAGAAATTGGTTTCTTCATAATTATATTAAATTTTTGTGAAGGAAATTATTTTTTTCAGTGTAATTTACATAAAATTGTCATTTCACAAGTTTAACTCTTTTGCTGAATGTTGCACAGCACACAGGACTTTAGGCTGCAGACATCCGTTATGTGAAGAGTAATTTTGGTACGTATGACCGAATTTGGCTATTAAATCATCATTTTTCACAGAACTCACAGACTTTGGGCTGCAAATGTGAATTATATTGTTTATATCAGAGTATATATCTGTGATTTTATGTAAATTTGAGTGACATATATGAAATTCTGCCTGTTGATTAATTCTGCAATTACCAATTCTACATTGAGTTTATCTGATAGCTAGTTTGTTGGGGGGCATTACCTATGAATTTCATGTTCTAGGCTCAAGTTGTACGTGTTATTAATGATGTAGAGAAATCAGCTTGTCCATAATGTTGTCGACCTACGTGGTGCATTTTTCTTTTTTTCTTTCAATTTTTTTTTTTTTTTTTGGTCATTGGCGGTGATGTATAAATTTGCTTATGAAATTGCTGGTGCAGATTCTATTGATACCAACATGGCTTCAAAGGAGAGGCTCGACCTGATTTATGCCACAGTCAAGTGGAACCTTGAGATCAGATGGTTTTAGAGTCTCCCATAATCCTATACTTTCTTCAGGACAGCAGTTCCAGTGCTGGTAGGCTATCTATCTGGATCATTGAACTTGATGTTAGCATCTACTTTAAAATTTTACCGATGTTACTTGAATTTATTATATTTCCTGTATATTTTGATAGTCAGCAGCCTAGTTTCCTTGTATACGTTAAATTTAATCAAGAAAGGTGAAAAATATTTCAATATTGCTTGGTTCTGTTTATCAAATATGTTCACATGCTCCATCGTGGACATGGGAATTTATTCAAAATGATTATTTTCTACTTTTTGAGTCTTACATTCTTTTCTCGGTATGTTACTACGATGGTTGATTGATGGTTCATCTCATACAAGAAAAAGGTCGCTGAAGCCAAATAGTTGATCACTTGACATGTTTATTTATATAACATCTCTTCTTTGACGATTAACTCAGGGTAAGTTTGATGTGGTTTTTCGAAGAATAGATTTTGTGAAACATGATGTTTTTGGAGGATGTATAGTTAAAAAGTATGGATAAGTTATGTGTTCAATGTACAAAATCATTTTATTGTGAGGGTGGTGGTTGAAAATAAATTTAAGAAAACATGAATTTTAAAGAATCTGACCAAATCTGGGCTCAATAAAAACCATAAACAATACGAGCCTCTTTTGCATATAAAAATTTAATCCAAAATGCTTGCTTGTCTCGTTAAATCGACTTAAATTTAAATACATTTTGATGAATAAGAATGTTTCACTTGTGTATCTAAGTACGATAAAGAAATTTAAAATTAAATTTTAGCTTCAAATTTTTTCTTGAACATGTAAAACTTGCCTAAATTTTTCCGGGCAACTATTCATCTTCGTATATTTATTTCTATTCGGACACAATAAACAAATCAAAACAAACGTTGGAGAAATGAAAGCAAATTACATAAAAATTTAAGAAAATGTCTCGCAAACGTATCACTTGATGTGCGATGTGGATGGCGTTCATCTCACTGCTTCCACCATCATCGGCCTCGACAGCAGCATCTTGGTCCAGTGTGCCGCCGTCCCTCAGGTCGCTAATTTTCGTTTGCTAAATTGTAATTTTTATTTGTTATTTGATCGAATCACATTCATACATAGGGCTTGAGTTTTTGTTGCAAAGGCATTTTATCAAGAGTTGATTTTGGTATGAATTTAGCATTGAAGAGCGTTGTAAGATCCCTGTCAAAGATGTGGTGGTGTGGAATTGGGTCGAGATCCTCGCCCTAGTATGGATAAATGGTGCATTGGGCTCTCATCCATTAAAATGAATCACAACTCTATTGGACAATGAATCAAGGATCCACTATCACTTGGGTCGGTGATGATGAATGAAAGCATTATTCCTTTTATATGTTGTGAATGATTATTCAAGGTGTATAAAGATGTGCGCTCGTGAAATTATGGATTCATTTTTTGTTGTGGTCTTTTGTTAATGAGAGTACATGCCTATCTATATACAGATAACTCGAGGAGATTGCTAATATAGTAAAGGATTTCGAAGGGCCAGGCTCCTACTGGGCTACACCTACATGGTGATTCAAGGAGCTGTCATCCGTGGAAAGAAGGTGCTTTATCTAGCTGTATCGAAAATTTGAGATTCATATGCAAAATGTTAGAATTTAGCAGTCCATTATGCAGATAATTTTAGTATCTTGTGATCGATTCTTGACCAAGCATTTGATCTCGTCTGGATTGCATGTATTTTTGACGATTGTGTTAAGTATTACGATTGGGGAATTTCAACACTTCGTAAATATGAAAAAAAATTTTGTTGGCTGATTCTATAAGAGTTTGAGTTGATACAGTCATGAATTCTAACAAAAACAGGTGAAGTTTGGGACGTGTTTGCTTGCTTCGCCTTGACATAATGTTCATTGCAAACTACAAGGCATTTGAGAGCATTCTCTTTATATTTGTTGAACCATCTCATCTAAAAGTTTAAGTTGTTAGAGGGAAAAAGCATTTATATATTTAAACATAGTCTTAGCACACCATCTGACGTATAAATGACACATTCAGAATTTTTGAAATGAATGGCCACTAGATTGAACATGGGACCTTGATATGATGTTATGCCATGCTTAGGGAGAGACGTATTTATAAATGTACGTCATAGCACATCGTGTTTCATTCTTACTAAATATGTTGCTTTTATTGCAAGAATCTGGTGTTATAACAGTAAAGAAAACTGCATAAGCTCTCATTTTTGGTCTCTGAGGAACCAATGACTTCGGCCAGTGTAACATGGTGGTGGAGAAAATAGGAGATTACCTCATCGACCAGGGCCTTTAGGTCTTCTCTCGCCTAAGTTACAAAATCATTAATTCTAGAATTTTAATATTAGTTTCAAATTTTACTACCCTCTCTTCTGACTTCTCCTGAATTAAGATGTTACGTAGTGATTATATTGAATATAAATTATGTCGTCTAGTAGTCAATAGGTGATGAAATGTAACATAATGATAAAATTCGAAACTAAATCAAAACTCACTCAGTTGAGATTAATTAATATTTAATAACCTAATTAAAATATTTCTTGAAGTTCAGTGATGACGATGATGAAATTTACTGTAAAAATTTTAAATTTGGGCTTAAGGTAGCTACAAGGAAGGATAATTCTACATGTATATTATGGTATCTATAAAGGTATCCATAATGTACACATGAAATTCCATGATTGAAGGGTTGAAAAAACGATTTTTCAACCCTTCAATAATATTATGCCAGTTGTACATTATGAACACGCTTATAGACATTATAATGTAAATATAACATAACTCTAAAAGGAAAAAGTAATGCTACAAGAACAGTTTCAAAATCAGACTAAAAAACAAGTCGGATAGATGTCAATACACTATTGGTGAGTTTGAAAATTTTAAAAAGAAATAAAAAATAGCCAAATACAGTCTGCCAGCCCATTCTCTTTTTTCAGCTCCTGTCACTCGTCCCGTTCAATTGGAATTGTCCAAAAGGGAAAATAAAAACATATTACAGGGGTGTTTTGGGTAATGAATAATACAACTGTTCCACCGAAACCCTAATCTTTCACTATTTCCCCCTTATAAAGCGCGCACTCACACCGTTCTCTCTCGCCAAATTATCGAAGACGCTTCACTCTGAGTTTCGGTTTGTATTTGTTTTTATGTCTATGTTTTTTTATAGTTTTAATCTGTGTTTTGCGTTAAAAATGGACGAATGATAAGCGGAGATTGTGTGTATCGACGTTGTGCAATATGAAATCAATGCACTTTGTTCGAAAGAGTTCTCTGCAATATTGATATTGATTGGGGAAGGTGGGCAGTTGTGTTTCAATTCTTCCATTGAATCCTTCAACAATCATCTTCCCCACATTCGAATTGTTAATCCTTCATTTTTTTTTTACAAAATTTTTTATGAATCATCTTTTATTTATTAATCCAGATCTTGCGTTCCATCACGGTTTGAATCATTTGATGAAGATCCTGATTGATTCTAATGTTTCGATTAAGAACAAAAATGTTAGTCCTTGTCTGTTTCATCTGTAAAACGGATTAACATTTAAGTTAAATTAACAATTAATTACAATAATTAAGCAAGATGTTCCTGATTTGGCTGTTGAAACTTACATTTCATACTTTTTTAAGTTCCGTAATTTCTTTCAAGTTTCAGATTTGGCTAGCTATAAGCAAAATGTTGCAAGTGACAATCAAAGAAATGCCTTTATGATTTTGACTTTTCCTTTCTTCACTAGCAACTTGAATATGGAAAAGCACAGGGGAAGAATTAGAAAATTGAGGATTGTTAAGAAACGGAAAAAATGATGATGCCAATTACTAACTGTCCATCAAAATATTCAGAAAAATCAATGTCTTTGTCACAGTCGCAGATAAGGTATCGTGTTCTGGCTTGTTTGCAAATATAGAATCATTGTTAAACAAGTTATGATTGGTAAAGAGATTTTTCAAAGCTGTTTGTTAAGAGGAGATATATAAATTCAAAAGGTTAATAGTTGAATATAGGCATCAAATTCTCAAATTGACAGCAAAATGAAGTAAACATTGCAAATGACAAAGCTATCAGTCACTTTGGAACTTTAGGGGGATAAAAATGGAGAAATTGGAGTGAGGTTGGAATGTAATGGTAACCAATATGATAATTTTTTTAAAAAATTTTAAAATTATAATAGGGATGGATTTAAAGTATGATAGATAATATAAAAGTGGTGTGAATGTACAATTTAAATGAACAAATGTAATAAGAATAACATTAAGATGTAAAGTGGATGAACATAGTACTCTCTTCGTCCAATTTATATATGTTGATTTTGTTTTTCATACAAATTAAAAAAAATTATTTAATGTGACTGAAAAACAATTTTTGCAAAGAATTTTTCTAGTTTACCCTTATTTAATTATCAATAATTAGTAATAAATAATGTGTTTTTGCCCATGTTTTCAAGAAGATATGAGATATGTGCGTATGTATTTGGATAATTTCAAGAAGGTAAAGTAAATCTATACAATTTCAAAATTAAATGGGAGGGATTGGTTAAAAGTTATAACTTATCAAATTAAATAAGGGATATTAGTAAATGAACAAAATAAATACTTTCTCAATAAAAAAAAGAAAAATAAAAAGACTATGAGTTTGTTTGGTATGAATTAAAATTCGATTTTAATATAAGTCAAAGTCAAATAATCAATATTAATTACATCCTTAATGGGTTCCATAATTTTTTAATCACACATTTTAAAAATTTCTATCAGAGTAGTACTTTTTTAAAATTTTAATATTTTATTAGATTTAGAGTAGAATAAATATATAAGAATGGTGAACGAAAATAGCTACTCACTTTAGAAATTATTTTCGTTTTTTATAAATTTTTTGTATGTATAACCAAATTGGTTATTAAATTTTTTGCCAAATTTGATCGTACCAAATCGATTCTCAAAACATTGGATTCTAAATAATTATTGAAAGAAACGAACCTTACGTGTCTAAATATGTGGACGACAACGTGTTTCGGATAAGGGAACTTTAATAATGCTGAAAATCATAAATAGTGGATAATAATCTTGTCTAAACTAAATGTTCAACAATGACATTATTGTATAGGATAAGTATGAAATTGGTAGGCAATATCCAATGCGTGTCTCATAACGACAATTAAATAAAGCAAATGTCTCATAAGTCGCAACCACAATCGATAATTTGTGGAAGTAACTCTTTCTTGCCTTTATTGCATTAAGCTGTCTATATTTTTAATTGTGTCAAATTTGACCTAATTTTCATTGGTCCTAAAATTTTTATCGTGCCAAATTAACGTAAGGTTCGCATACCCAAATACGCATTACATGAGCATGGGAACGAAGTGTATAAACAAAGTAGTCTTTGTGAACTTGCACGATGACATGACACCTTATTTGTTAATCATGAGTAACAGTTTTATTATTATTCTAAATAGAATTAGAATTAAATTTTAGGGTGCATTAAAATTTAAAATTGACATGACATTTTCTAACAAGTTAGACCTCTTAATTAAGCAGTTAAACATGATATTCGAGCATCCAAAAGTCTTATTCAAGCGTTGCTACTACATGTTTAATGAAATTGTATTGATATTATGCTTACACGTGATTAATGTGGTGAAGATTTTTTTAACAATTTAAGCATTTAGATAAAGTGATTATTTGGAAAATTCTCAAGGTAATATTTCACGTCACACTGCGATGTGCTTTGAATTTGTATCACTTCTTTCATCCCAAGTCGAGGGACCGAAAGTCACTGACTATACAAACCACAAGTACTATTTCGAAATTAACTCTGCTGCTAATATACTGTTAATATGTATCATATATGTGTTTCCATTTCCTGTCATGCTGTTGTTGGAACGAGCATTAGAAATGTTTCATATCACTCTGGCTAAGGTAGGTTCGGTGAGACAACTTGGTCAATGCCATCCTTACTTTATCCAAGTGCCACTTATCCATAACTCACTTTCAATAAATTTCACATTTCCCTGTCAAATAATGTTGTTTTGAATTTTAAACCTTTAAAAATAAAGTTTTGAGTTCCGAATCTATTTAAGTATGTAAATTTGGATCTCTATATGACATACTTTTCAAGAATGACTCAAAGTTGGCATTAAATTCCTCTTTGGTTTGAATAAAAATCATATTTTTAGTGAATCTTGATAAAAAAATTAATGAAATATATGATTAAAAAGTTGTGAATCCCATTAAATTTGGGTTTAAAATAAACTTGACGAAAAGTAAATTTTAAGAAATGGAATCAAACAGGGAGCTAAGTATTTGACAAATTTTCCCTCAATCTTAAATCATGTGAAATTTGCTTGCGATTTTAACTTCAACATTTATGATGTTCATTTCTTGACGGCTGAGATTCACAAATTCAAATATGTTGGTGACTCAGAACTCTACTTTTGAATGACGAGGATCGAAAACTACATGAATTGAAAAAATAGGATCTCAACTTTAATTTTTCAATAGTGAGAGATGTATGTATATAATAATTGTGTAGTGGGATGTGGGGTGACTAGGATTTGGATGGTACCAATCTAGAGAGCTTATCTTGTTCCAATTAGTACAATTCTAAAGTCAAGAATTCATTTTAAAAAACAAAAGGAGATAATGTCGAATCTAAAGATAAGGCAAATCCAAGCAAATATGTAATGTTGAATTTATCAAATTGAGGGGAAACCCTAATCTCACAATCTACCCCACCAAACTTTCTTGAACCCATAATCATCTTTTGACACCTGTTAATCTTAATCAATTTTAATCATTAAAAAACCCATAATCCCAATTAATCGTACAATAAAAAAAAAATTGTATTCTAGGTCAAACTTTTATGCCTCTACACGTGTCATTATCTGCTCTTGATAGCATGGAAAACGATGCTCCTTATCTTGAATTCTAGAATGCATTGTTCCAGAAGGAAACAATCCTCGTCCACACATGTATATCTGTATATATATGTTTCCATATATTAGTACCGAAGTTCGTGTATTATGTATTATTTCAGACAGAAAAAGTTATAGAATTTCTCATCTTCTGCTCCCTTTTATGTTCTTGATCTTTCATTTGGGCAATGGCAGAAGGGAATTCACAAGTGTTAGAAGAATTATGGTTTCAATATGGGAATACCACGAAAATTCATGATCAGAATGAAAACTGCATATCATCTTCTGAATCTTCTGTTGTTGAAGATTCAGCATTTTCGAACGAGTCATCATCTTCTTCTTCGCTCGAAACAGCAGATGATGTAACTTCATCAGCATCTTCTTCTCTTTCCGCAGATTCAAGTGGAGGTTCATATGATTTAACAGATCTAATGGAAGAATTGCCCATCAAGTAAGTTGATTGCCCAATTTATTTTTTTTAATTCTGGGGTTTCTCTGAATTTGAAAGTACCACTTAAAACGATGGTGGCCAACTTGCCCAACCTCCCTCATACTGTCATCATAGTATGAACATTGAACATATTTCATTTCGTATGGAACCCTAATAACATGTTTGTTATACTGAACTCGGCTAACAATGGTAGAGATTCGTGCCAGATCTATTGAATACTGTCATGTTGAGGTCTTACCTCTTTTATGAAAGAGGGTTCGTTTAGATCTACGCAAATCATGTCTTAGCTACCTAACTCGAGCATGATTCTTACCTTGTGAAACTTGATCTTCTGCAGGAGAGGGCTGTCCAAGTTTTATGAAGGGAAATCAGAGTCTTTTACATCATTATCAATGGTGACAAGCCTAGAGGACTTGGTGAAGAAAGGAGCGCCTTATAAAAGGAAAATGAAGGCTTCGAAAAGCTATGCAGCTGGCTTGAATAGCTTTAAACCTTATACGCTTCCTAAGCCCATTATATCAAAGAAATCTCCAAAGGCTTCTTTTTCATCATCTTTTCCAAGTAAAAAGGGAAATATTATCAAAGCAAGCCCCCGCTGACTCCTATTCGCTTCAGGTTCGAGCAAGAGGCCAAGCATTCAGCTAGACGTCCATGCCTGGGAGCCCCGTTCTCCTTTACTTTTCTACATACAGAGTGAGATTGTACATAAGGAATTTTCTTTTTTCTTTTTTCTTTTTTTTTTTTTTCCAGAAAGTATGGAAATATATTTTTGTTAGCTACTTGGTGGAATATACCAAAAGAAAAGGTTAAAATCTTGTCCATAGAAATAGTCGGCAAAATGACATGTCTATGTGGAAATTTTAGTCCTATATGTTTCTTAATTTTAGATATTCATATTAGGCAATGGTCGATATTTATAGCCTTGGAGCTAATCTGAAGAGTAAAACTGACATTTGGAGAGTATTTCAAAATTTAGTTTGGATCATAGACAATTGGAACATGTGATTAACTACGGATTCCCACAAATGAACCGATTATAAAAATAAAAATAAATAAAAATCCGTTCGATTTAAATCATTCTTAATGGTCATGAAATAATCATCTTAGGGTGATTCTTTCATCGATGGATGTTCCTATCTCTATATGTGTAAATCTATATCAAGAATTCAAGTATTGTGTATGACATTATTCCAATCATTTGTAGGAACAATCCGTAATAATGAACTTCCGAAAGTTTGAGAGTTTTGAATCCTTTGTTCATACATTGAGATTCTTGGATATATATAGTCTCCATCCTGCTTATCTATTTCATCTTTCCATTTTTTTTTAATACCCTTTTCAGTCGAAGACCTTAACCTTAATTAGTATCAAGTAACAACTATGGAGTGATCATTGCATCGGTACGTGAGCCAAATTATCAAATACTTGGACCTGCAAATGGTGGGAGAATTACTAGATCTATATTTTTTCCCCTTGAGGAAACCAATTGGGGTGGAGTTTTATCAATAACAAAAATAGAAAACTACAATGATTTAGATAAGGAGCTAGGACCTGACCAATTATGGGCACACGTGTGAAGAGGCTACAGGGAGAGGGGCTGAACTCGAAGCTAGGAATAGTTGCGATTTGGTTATAAAAAGAATCGAACAGAGTATCATTGGTTCCATCTCCAAGTATGGAACAAAAACGTTAGGCTCCGATCCAATTTTGTTCCTTGGTTAAGTTCTCAAATGAATTGAAACATGTATGAAGTGTCAAATTATACAAGTTCTTAAGTCATAACTATTTAATATTTAAATTCCCCCTAATCTATTCATTAAAATAATGTATATACTTAACTATTGGCTTGAACGAGTTTTTCAGAAACGTGTTCCATATCGAAGGGCTGAAAACGTTAGCTTGAAAAGGATGAAAGGAAAACAAATTGTAGCACCCCGAATTTTAAATCTTAATTTCATATTGGGCAAAATTGAGGGTTGGTAATTTAGCAAATAAAATAGTTCATGTCAAGCTTTGTTGTCACACTAAAGACTAAAAGCTAAAGTGATACACACGGCCTACTCATTTGCATAAATGATTTATTTTGTTTATGTGTATTTTTAGAATTTTATTGTAAATTATTTGGATCAAATAATTAAATATTTTAAAAGTTGATAAAAATATATGGATATTATACTCATTTTGTTGCTCGTGTTAAATAGTATTATTGGACTCAGTGATAAATATTTTTAGACTAGTTATACCCGAGTTATGTTGATAAAAAAAAAAGTATTCTAGATTTTATATTTTATTAATGAAAAAAAGTAAATAATAATAAAATAACGAAATAAAAGAAATGGCAGATACGTTGGATTTTGGGAAATTGAAAAGGTGTAATATATTATAATTAATAAAACATAATTATTCCATTAATTTTAACAATAACTAAATTAATTAACATTATAATTCTTACTTTTAATGTGAAAGGCGTTTGATTCCAAGAATTTAATATGAAATATTTGATTAGGTTACTGTGAGAATTTTATATAAGTAAATTGTGTTCATGTCATTTTTCCATTTTCTTACTTATACACAGTTCATTTTGTCTATCAATCTCAACTCATATTTCAGAATTTTTCATGTCATTCAAGATAAGAATACATCGTACAAAGTAGTAAATTCTTATTTATTGATCTTTATATAAAGTTTGACATGAAATATTATAAGGCCTTCGGGTCAAATTCTATGTTAAATATTTCAGAATAGACCGTTAGGTCAAGTATGGTAAATCTTATTGGATGGACCTTTGAGTCAGTTATGTTAAATCCTACGGAATATGGGAATTCTTAAGAAATTTCTCGAGCTCCAAGTATAAGAAATGTCAATATGTTATGTCAATTTTATATTTATATCATGTAGATAAGAATGTGCAAGTATTCTTACCGAGTGTTTTTTAAAATACTCACTCTTACAATAACTTTTTAGATGAGAACAGGTCGTGTGGAAGCGTAGAAAATTGACCGAGTGATGTTTATGGGATCGCCAAGTAAAGTTTTCAGAAAATGTATTTGTCAACTTTTATTTGAATAATATCTTTATAATAATGCATGTTATTTAATATTTTTAGAGATCCAAAATTCGGTATTTTATGTGAAATAGTAATTTGGAATGGAGTATTTCTAGAATTATATTTAATATGAAAATTTTAGTTAAGTTATTATTTATCGTTATCGAATTATCAATCACATTTACAATTTTCAACACTTAATAAAAAGTGGTATTTTTGCTTAAATTAGATATTTTGGTAATACCTTGAGCCTATTTTTATAAAAGAATAAAACAATGAAGTTGAAAAAGATTTTGGGGCGTTACACAAACCTGTTATTAATCTAAAATTATGAGCTTGTTTGGTAGAGATTTTGATAATTGATTTTTTGATCGTTAGAAATAAAGTTGGTCCTACCTGTGAGAGAAAAATTAAAAAATGACGACTGAAATGATAAAATAACAGTCAAAAAATTGATTTTAATTGACTTTTAATCCGTAATAAACAAGCACTACATCTATGAAATTTAATTGATTTTTTTGTCTGAGTTTGTAAGTAATACTATATATTAAATCGAATACATATTTGATGTAATATTGTGAAATTCATTAGAAAAAGGGCAATGATTGATATATTGTACTAGCCATCATTAAAAATAAAAAGCAAAAAATCCGAATTAAATAGGATTTTTTTTGGTTGTTGTATTAGAATCACGAATAGATCGATTCTTGATTTTAATATGCAGATTCGATAAGAACCGAACTAAACCAATCCGTCTCAATCCGATTCTTGATCGTTCCAATGATTTTGGTAACTTTTGTCTACCTCTAAGTTCCTTTTTGACCCAATTACTAATATTTGTGAAATATTAATTTGGACTAGGGGACCAAGATGAGCCCGTCTGGAACTACAGCGGGCCCAAAAGCTTTTACAACGTAGTAGTAAAGTTTCTTCTTGTGGAAATTACACCTACACATGATTTTTAACTTTCCATTTAAAAAAAAATTATGTTTAAAAGCTTTTTGTTCAAAAATCTTGTTATAATTCTACATTTTAATATTAATTAAAATTAAATTAATTTACATACCTACCCCACTCTAGTCTAGTCAATTCTACTCCAAACCCTAAATTATTTTCATCTTTCTTCTCTCTCTATCTTATCGTTTCTCCCTTCTCTCTTCAACTGCCAATACCACCATGCGGCGTTGTTGTGCGTCAGCACTATCACCACTACGAAGTGCAGCTACATGCGAGCACTATTTACCGAACGATGCTAAGTAGTTCGGGCTATGAGATTGTTGATGAGGACGAAGGTGGCATGACTAATCCGTAAAGTAGTGGTTGTTGACGAGGTTAAGAATACCACTGGTGGAATGAGAGATGATGGCTATTTGTGTTAAAGGTATGAGTTGGTGGCTTGACGAGATTTGGGTGAGCAAGGGCAAGTTTTTAATTTGTTGGGTGTGGGTGGATATGGTTTTGAAATTGGTGGTGCGGTTGTGGTGCCAAAGGTAAAGGGTGGTGAAGATGGAATGGGAGGGTGGGGTAAATGGGATGAAGAATGTTTATGATCAATTATTTGGATTATTGCAATCAATAAATTGGTTAATTTGTTAAAATACGTAATATGTGATTGATGAATGGATAGCGTGTGACCAATTAACATGTTATATGCAACATAAAAATGTGAGATTGTGACTAAATTTATGATCATGATTCACAATTTGTTAAATTGTGATTATTTGATAATTTATAACAACTTATGATCAATTAATTTGATAATTTGTGATTATGAAATAAGTTGTGATATAAAAAAATTTATGATTTGTGACCGATAAATAATTAGTTATCAATAAATAAGTTATAACATATGAAATTTGTTATTTATGAACGACAAATAAGTTGTGACTTATAAAATTTGTGGTCTGTGATTGAGAAATTATACTTGATCAATTAATTTGATAATTTGTGATTGATAAAGAAGTTGTGACTTATAAAATTAGTGATTTGTTAGTATGATGTTCAGTAATTGTGACTAGTACGCAATTGTACCCATGGAACATGCAATATTGTGACTTTAATATATTTAATTAATAATTAGGATCGGTTTTTGAAATTGTATGATCTTTCAAATACCTGAAATTGTATTTTTCTTATTTCCTTTATGGAAGCACATTCAAATTTGAACGAGTAATGCTGCATGAAATAGGGTCATTGATAGATCTTATTTCCAAGGAACAATGTCAAATTTTGATTGGATAAGTACTGACAACACAACACCTGTCATCTTCCTTGTATACTAACCTTGTCCAAGTAGCATTACAGAATCTCAACTACTTTTTTACAAGGTGTCCGGGCTTGCGTCCGACTAGATCCTTGTCCCTGAACCTCCGGCCCCTCAGCAGCTCAGGGAGGTAAATCGCAGGATGTGCCCTTGTTGGCTCCCAGGTTCCCACAACTCATTTGGACTCCTTCCGCAAAGAGAGCTCTCCTCGCTGGGCGTTTGTTCAACCAAATGGCTTCCCCTCCATTTTAGCACCCAGTGTTAACTCCAGGAATCGAACTCTCCACCCTTGCTTCCAGCGTCCCAACGAAGTGATTGTTCCACCAACTCGGATGTGCCCTGGGGGGCCACAACACCTGTCATCTTCCCTGTATACTAACCTTGTCCAAGTAGCATTACAGAATCTCAACTACTCTCTTGTCCTTTTGCTCCCCCCCTATGAAACTTGTGCATTCAAACCTCAACTTCTACTATCTCTAGTAAATTTGCTCATTTGAGTATTTCATCTGTTTCAACAAGGTAAAGTTGGTAAAACACTATATTCGTCTTGAGTCTCATTTTTTTAGGGGAAATGTATTTTAGAATAGTATTTTTGAAGAATATATAGTAAAAAATAGGAAAAATTTTGAATTTACGAATAATATTATTTGATGA